TTACAGTTACAACTAGTAATTTTAGTTACAACTAGTAATTTTATCAGTGAAATTATGAGACCTAGCCACCAATCTAGTAATGTGCTTTAATTCAGGAAGTCAATGTACCAATGAAGAAAGCTAATCAGGACAATTATTAGGAAACCATTTATAGAAAAGTCAGAGGGAAGCAACATTATGGTGGTGGGAAATTGACTGAAGCTGAGATGTGTAGGGATATCATTATGATTATTATTATTATTATTATAAATAAAGATAAAATATAAAATAATAACAATAAAGAAAATTATAAATAAAATAAAAATGAACCAATAACATAAGAATGTGGTATAAAATAAATTAAATAAAAATTAAAAATAATAAAAATACTCTCCTGCAACAAAAGGTTCCTGCCAGAAATACAGACATCCCGCCAAAAGACATTAACTTCAATCTTTACACTACAAACCTTGGTACGGGCAACACATGACGGACTTCTCTCTGTGATAAGGCTTGTAATACTGCAGAGTAAATTCTCCCTTTTATCACATGTACCATAAAACAATTGTAACCTAAATAATACACACAAAAATATAAATAAATTGTATGAAATTAACATACAATTTACCATGCTTTTCTGTAATTTCCTGCCAAGCATACTTTTATCTTTGTGAACATGAGGCTAATTTCTGTTGCTATGATGTGAGTCAGCTTCCACAGATGCCAGGCCATGAGTGATAAAATTATAGATTCTTCTTTAGATTTTGTCAAGAACCTAGATATATAGCAAAAGCATCAGGCCAGATGTAGTAGCAATATTTGATGCACAGAAAATGACTTATAAATATGTAAGATAGATTTGGTGAGAAAAATTGTCTAGCAAAACATAGTGAACCTACTTTTCTAGCAGCAGATTTAGCAATTGATTCAATATAATTGTTCCACTTTGTGTTAGTGGAAACAGGAAACCAAGAATGTGCAATGAGTTACTCTCCTGGAAGGCAAAAAAGATTCTTTAAAATATCAGTTTCACATATTCTATCATATGGATAAACTACTATGAAGGAATAAAACTGATAAAAACTGATGAAATAGAGGAAGACTAGATAATAGAACCAGAAAGAATATAGAGAAGGAATAAAATCTTTGGAGTAAAAAGTGGTAATAAAATACAATAATAAATAGAATGACGCCCAAGTCAAGTGTAAAATGATTAATTTGTAAAAGAAGCCCTAATACAAACTATGTATTTATATACTTTTAGCTATAAAATCTGATACTTTTTGCTATATAAGAGTTATCTCCCTTAAAGCCATAGGGGTGAAAAGATAACCAGTATAATGAAAGAGCAGTTTACAATAATCATAAGTGGGCAAAAATATATTTAAAGACTCATATGTGAAAACCTAGTGATAAGCACTAAACAAAATAACAGTTGAAGCTTTGCCTAAAACTAATTTCTTTCCTTTTTTTACTTTTGAATTATTCTATATTTTAGGCTAAATACAAAATTCCCAGAAAGCCATAAAACATTGACTATAAAACTTATTCAATAAAACCACATGAGTCCTATCTATTGATTTGTAAAAGTGTTTCCAAGGCAACACTGAACCTTTCCACCTGAAAAAGGGTGGAGTATCAAGTTGCAGGAAGTAGAAGCTTATTATCATTTTTCTTTTTCTTTTTCTTTTTTTCCTTTGGTCAATATTAGACTTGTGATATTTGAACATGTTTGTCACAAGTATGCAAAGCAACAAATGTGGAGCACCATTCATCATTTTGATTGCCAAAGTAATAGCACTAAGATCTATAATTTTTATTTGTTTACACCTATGGAAGGTTTGTTTACTGATCTAAGCAGCTAACAGACAGATGTATGAAATAATTTATCTGTTTGATTTCAAATGTACAATATCCTGTTTTCAGGAGTTTGTTTAGATTATCAACTGAACCTTTATTTCTGTTAGAAAATAAAATCAGTCTTTTTAATACTGTTTTTTTTTTTTTTTTACTTACAATTTATATTTATTAAAAAGACCTGTGAAATTTTTCCTATTTTAATATTCTGCGGAACCTTAATTCTTAAATCAATGATTGAATAAGCTTATGGTAAGTTCTACAACAATAGAATATCTGTATAAATTCCCCCATCACATCGTTAAATATTTGAGCTTAACAACTTTAACAAAATATTGCAATAATAATCATAAATATGAATGTTGGCCATTATTTCAAGAAGTAAGGGGGTACAAATGAAGAATTTTGAAATTGATAACTTTTTCCATTTTACTGAAACAGCTGTTAAACATTTCTATCTTCCCTTCTTTTATTCTTTCATTGTTTCACTGAAATCAAGTAGCAGCTCTGATGTCATTTCTGTGTTTTTACTCTCAAAATGGAATAGGCTATTATTTTTTTGAGTCATGGTATATATATTTTCAGCCATTTCCCAATGGCATGATATTCAGACACTTCCCAATAGTGCTACATATTGAGATTACCTTCTCAGGCACTTCCAAATAGTGCCACATGTTGAGAATGTCTCCTCAGGCATTTCTCAATAGTGCCATATGCTGAGATTGCCCCCCCCCGGCTCATATTATCAAGAAGTCATCTCCTTGACAAATCAATCATGGTGAGATCTAAACCCACATTTCATGGTTGGAATGCTAGCATTCCAACCAGTCAACCATATGATCACAAAGTGTAATAAATGTTCAGTAATATTAATATTTTTAAATATTAATACCAATACTAATAAATAGATGACTATGATGGGAAGTATAAGATCAAGAATGTCAAATCATTTGGAATGATAATTTATTGTGAAAAATTTATTTGACGTATATGGAAATTGGGTCTTGAATAAAACAAGATTACCAAATAATTATAAAGACATGGAATGGATACAAGTACCAGTTTGGTGACACTCATTTCTCTATAGTTGTCTGACCTGCAATATCTAAGGTAATTGTTAATGTTTGTTTAACTTGGAGTTAAGCTTGTGTTAGAAATGATTGGAATTCTAAACTGAACACTCTATTTAATCCAGAAGGATAGATTGTTCTCATGCCGCTTTCAATGTTAAGAGAATGTTTTCTCTCAGTGAAATCTTTCTAGTACATAATGAGTTCAATCCCTCAGTTGGAAAAGTCATATAGTGAAACAAACTAAAAAGAATGATTAAGAAAAGATAGATTGTTACCATTTTATATTTTTAATTTCACACATGCACATTGTTTTTGATTTTGTCAACTACAGAGTATAATAGGGTCAGTTTGGCACTGTCTGTGAGGAAAAGAGTACTGTGATGCAATTCACTCCACCAGAAATTTGGAAATGGCATCCTGTATTGCTTGACATTTGTGCTGAAAGCTCCAATACAAACATTTCAGAGTGTTTGGGTGTCAATCTGAGGACAGTGCTGAGTATGCTGTGTTCCCAAAAGACATACCGAGAGTGATGAGAACCAAATGTCCAGTTATCATCATGGTGTTTGAAGTGATAACTAGTGATGGCAACATTATGCCTCCATTCATCTTCCCATAGGGACTCAGATTCAACATGGAGGCCCACATCAAGTTCCTTGAGGAGGTAGTGCTGCTCTGGATCAAGAGGGTGTCTGCTGGAAGACACTATGTCTGGCAACAGGACACTGCACCATGCCACACAAGCAGTAGTACCCAATCATGACAGTTATACAATTTCGTCCACATCACTCCTTACATCTGGCCACCTAACTCCCCAGACTGCAACCCTCTTGATTATTATGTGTGGAGCGCAGTTGAGCAAGAGACCAACAAAACTCCTTGTAACACCAAAGATAAACTGAAGGTAAGGATTATGGCAGAATTTACCAACTTAAACAAAAGGAGACTATCCAGAAGAGTTGCAGGAGATTCCAAAGTTGTCTAGAGGCTGTGATTGAAGCCAATGGTAATTTTATTAAATAAATTTACTTTTTAGTATTTCAAGATATTTTTGTGTAATTTTGGTAAATATATCTGTTAAAATGAGATAAGTTTTATTTTCAATTTATCCATGGCACCCTGTATATGAGTTTTGATCAAAAAGTATTGGGACTGGTGCTATAAGAAGAAAATTACAACACATATCAATTCAGCATTTAATCTCCTTTGAAGTAGTCACCTTCTTAAGCCATATACTTTATCCAGTGTCATTTCTAATAATGGAAACATTCATGGAACGTTTTTTTTGTGATAGCAAGAAGATGCCTTGTCAAATTCTCTTGGATTTCCACAATGTCTTGAAATCATGCTCCTTTCAAGTGAGATTTGTTTTTTGAAAAGGCAAAAGTCACAAGAAGCAAGATCTTGGAAATATGATAGTTGTCAAACCTGGGGAACATGTCATTGGCCAAAAGCTGGTGCCTAATTCAGTATGACTAATGGAGCTTCTGTGGTGCGGTGAGATGACCACACTCTACACACTTTCATTCCAAACGCTGTTATAAACAACAGAAGTGAGCATGAACATTTTAACTTAGTGTGTATGCATGACAGAGTTCAAACTAAATCTGTGCCAAGTTGCAACAGTCTGCGTACTTTAGCTCCATTATCATAGAAATAGTTCTGATACTTTTTGATCAGACCATGTATATAAAAACTCTCTAAGAGGTTTTAATTGACAGCTTTCAGCTATTTATTTAGCCCCACTTTTTAAGATCTAAGATGTTCCTAGTCAGGGCCAAAAACAATTCATATGATTTATTGCTCATAAATTTGTATGAAGAATATTCCTGCAAATTTAAATATACAATAAACTATTATTTTCATAATCATATAAAAGGAACATTATCTATGTATCTATCTATATATCTATGTACATACATATGTTTATATCTTTAACACACACACACACACACACATATTATAAACTTCTGGGAAAATTTGGATGACTCTTGGGAAGACAAGAGGTAGCTGAGAAAGACAAACACCTGGAATGACAAAGGTTGATAGTCCAATTAACAATGCACATACAGTGGAGTAATGAATAAAGGCTTACGGCTACATCACCTTGAAACACAGGTTCCCATAAAATCATTGAAGTTAAGCAATGTTGAGCTTGGTCAGTACCTAGATGGGTGGATGTTTGGGAATACCAGGTGGTGTAAGCTTGGATGTGTGGGTGATGTAATGAATAATGGCTTGGAAATTTTTAATTTGAAAGCTGAGTTCCAATTCCCATTTGGTTTCTAATATATTCACGTACATGCAAATACCCTTAGGAAAGGTATTAATTTGCCTCTTCTCTCCCCAGCCATGGGTTAATTAGTAGGACATATTATGAAACTATTATTACCTCAAAAAATTCTTACAATCTAATAATATTTTCTGGCTTTAAATAACCTGCAAAGGGTTGATAAGTCATAAAAAACAAATCAATCAAGCAATGGATAGCAGCTTGGATTAAAGCATCAGAGAGCCAAGTTCAAACTCCAGTCAAGTTTGTTACATCCACCTAAATATTAAATACCCTTGGGAAAGGTATGAATCTATCTCTTCTCCCACTAGCTGTGGGTAAGACTGTATCCTGCAGGCATGGTTGGTAACCAGTCTAGGAAAAGGTCAACTCTGAATTTAAAACCTCCAAATATGGGGGATAAATAAATAGCCTGCATAGTGAAAATGTGTGAAAAGCAAAGAAAAGAAATAATCTTCACTCATAAACCAGTGTTCATCTGGACCATTTCAGCAAATTAATTTAAAGAAAGCAAAATTTGAGATTACATACAAAGAACTACCGGAATTGTAAGAATTTCCTCCAGAAAACAAGTTACTAAAAATGTACCAGATATTAATTGTTTGCAATAAGGTTCTATAAAACATGACCTGCTGTCTGATGACTTTTTTAAAAGATTTCATAAAAAATGTATATCAATAAAATTATTTCAAATATTGGGATTGAATTGACTGAATCTACATACCAAAGGGGAATAACTCCAGTGCCTTATATCAGTTTCATTCTATTTCATTGCTAAGTTTTAGAAAGTAAACCCTAATTCAGGGTTCCTACCAAAGAAATGGCAAAAATTCATCTGGCACAATAATTACAGTATAGCATTACAAAACTTTATGCCATGAATTTAGGTGTATATAATGGGTAAGAAATGCATCACATGACAATCTAGTTACAGCTATAAAATGCAAGTCACCTTGCCAGTTGGGGTCAATTTCTCAAAATGACTGCACATCTATTCTAGACTTCCATTTCACTCACTGTTCATGGTAGAGGATATCATAGGTCGAATGTATGACCAAGCCAACTCACTAGTAATATCTCATTTCACTTTCTACATCTAATATGTATTTAGCTCATTGCATAAGCAAACTCTTATCTAAGTCTAGTTTCTATAAATATGTACATGAACTGTTTCCTCTCAAATTTTATATACATATCCTTGTTTTGATTCATTTGTGTACATAAGAGAAAAGAGAATTGAATATAGAATAGGCTGTGCCAGGGGTAGTTTTGTACAACACTGCAACTTGCTACTAAACCAAAATATTATTTTAAGAACTCTAGTTGTTCTTGGAGGCATGGTGGAGTAATGGATAGTGGCTTGGATTGAGATATTAGAGAGCTGAGTTTGAATTCCACTCAAATCCATTACATTCACTTATGTGCTAATGCTCTTGGGAAAGGTATAAATCTTCTTCCTCTCCCACCAGCTATGGGTAAATAGGAGGACAGACCAGGTTCTATAGCCTTGTATGGCAACTGGTCCACTGCAGAAAGAAATGGAATTCTACTGTGGGAAAAAATCTGCCTCGTCAGTCATGTATCAAAAGATACATGATCACCTAAGTATGTATCACGCATGGCACATAACTGACTGACTGAGTTATTGTTGTAGAGTAGTTTCACAGTGGAGGCTTGTATTTCACTAGGTTGGTCCTAAAATAGGTTTGACATACAAAACATTAGGAACTTGATATAATAGGTAATGACACAGAGAAATCTAGTGGTGGTCGCTGATACTTTTAGTATCCAACTAATGGTTGTCTGATATCGACTGACTGACCAACGATATTTAGTCCCCCCCCAGGGCATCATGTGACACAAGGCCGGTTTAACATGGGATCTCCGAGGCTGGTATAACGTGAGATCTCTGCACCCTTGGGCTTGGCCAAAAATATGCCCATTGAACCCGTATAAACAGGTTCGGGGTCAGTTTACCTCCCTGAAAGAGAATCTGCCCTTCAGCATAGCCTCTTTTGGGTTCCTCTCCACCCGAAGGCAGAGAGTTCAACCAATCAGCCAGTCGGCTGACTGACCAACTTCCTGAGCGACTGCTACTACTCCTACTTATTATAGGTGGGAGAGTCTATTAACAATAGAATAGGTGTGTTCCACTATAACAGTTATATTCTTAAAGTCTTGTCAGATTGAGACTTCTATAGTAAAATGACCAAGAATACATTTTATAGCTTCAGCTGGATGTGTTTTAAATGCAATTGTATGCCTTCAAGTATACAATTGTACTCGGGATATGTTTGGTCAAGGCCATAAAATTGTGTTCAAAAGTTATATTTTGGCATTAAATAACCTATGGAGGTTCATATATTGCTAAACAAAACCAGGCAAACAACCAACATGAAAGAACTCTTTCATGACATTAATCCATATAATATTCTACAATTTCTTAAATAAATCAAACTGTATTCTAAAATATAACTTCAACAAAACTACAACATCATAAAACAAACACATTATCACCTCTTGTAATCATGTCTACACAAAAATACACATGCACAAAAGTTGAGTAACATCTATTAATATATACCATATTTTTATTACATCAAAACTCCTAAGAAAATTAAATTCTGGCATTAAATTAAGGTGTTGATATGCTGTTAAACAAATTAATCAATCAAATTGGAAGTCTTTAACCTCCATGCCCACAAATGAATGGTTATTCCCTTGACACCACTATTACTATATACACTTTTGATACCCCAGCAATGTTTATTGTTTTAAAAAACAAAACACATAATACAGTGTAACCCAGATATAAGAGAGTTGTTGGGACCGGAGAAAAAATCTCTTATATCCGGGTTTCTCTTATATCCGGGTTTGGTCTATTTTGTTTAGGTAAGTATGGGAACACTTTGGGACCAGATAAAATCTCTCTTATATCCGGGTTTCTCTTATATCCGGGTTTGGTCTATTTTGTTTGGTAAGTGGGGAACACTTTGGGGACCAGAGAAAATCTCTTTATATCCGGGTTTCTCTTATATCCGGGTTTGGTCTATTTTGTTTAGGTAAGTATGGGAACACTTTGGGACCAGAGAAAATCTCTCTTATATCCGGGTTTCTCTTATATCCGGGTTTGGTCTATTTTGTTTAGGTAAGTATGGGAACACTTTGGGACCAGATAAAATCTCTCTTATATCCGGGTTTCTCTTATATCCGGGTTTGGTCTATTTTGTTTAGGTAAGTATGGGGAACACTTTGGGACCAGAGAAAAATATCCGGGTTTCTCTTATATCCGGGTTTGGTCTATTTTGTTTAGGTAAGTTTCTCTTATATCCGGGTTTCTCTTTATATCCGGGTTTGGTCTATTTTGTTTAGGTAAGTATGGGAACACTTTGGGACCAGATAAAATCTCTTATATCCGGGTTTCTCTTATATCCGGGTTTGGTCTATTTTGTTTAGGTAAGTATGGGGAACACTTTGGGACCAGAGAAAATCTCTCTTATATCCGGGTTTCTCTTATATCCGGGTTTGGTCTATTTTGTTTAGGTAAGTATGGGAACACTTTGGGACCAGAGAAAATCTCTTATATCCGGGTTTCTCTTATATCCGGGTTTGGTCTATTTTGTTTAGGTAAGTATGGGAACACTTTGGGACCAGAGAAAATCTCTCTTATATCCGGGTTTCTCTTATATCCGGGTTTGGTCTATTTTGTTTAGGTAAGTATGGGGGAACACTTTGGGACCAGAGAAAATCTCTTATATCCGGGTTTCTCTTATATCCGGGTTTGGTCTATTTTGTTTAGGTAAGTATGGGAACACTTTGGGACCAGATAAAATCTCTCTTATATCCGGGTTTCTCTTATATCCGGGTTTGGTCTATTTTGTTTAGGTAAGTATGGGAACACTTTGGGACCAGAGAAAATCTCTCTTATATCCGGGTTTCTCTTATATCCGGGTCTCTTATATCCGGGTTACACTGTATCACATGTTTATTCAAATCTTTTTGTCTTATAGTTCATTGATATTTTTATAAACTTATGAATAAAAAACTTATTTGTATAGATATTTATAAAATGGTAAATAATAAATATTTCATAGTAGTTGTTTCATATGTATTTTGATAATTTTGTAATGTTTTATAAATTTTTGAATAAAAAGATTTCTATTTACACTATTTACATCATTCAGACTGCTGTCCTCATCTTTACTGCTATATTCATGGTGTTGCTGTCATTGTACACTCCGGCTTTCTTCAGGTGATATATGTTGTGAGTTCAATAACTGGCCACAGCAGAGAGAACTTGGAGAGTTGAGTTACTAAAGGGAATTAACTGAAACTAATATATCTAGAAAAGGCATGGCATGTGGAACTAGAACAATCTACCTCCATGGACTAAATAAAGGGTTCGGTTTGAAATTCCAACATATATCACCTGAAGAAGGCCAGAGTGTACAATGTCTGAAACATATGGCAATAAAGATGAGGAAAACAGTTCGAACAATGTAAATAGTGTAAATAGTTACAATATCTCATCTCAAAAATATAGACAGATGTTAAAAAGATTTCTTTTCAAATGTTAATAATAAATATCACATCATATTTGCTTCTCAAATTTTTATAATTTTGTAAATAAACATTGCTGAGGCAATCAAAAGTATATACAGTAATAGCAGTGTGAAAGGGATAACCATTCTTCTGAGACACCTTTTTTTTTTGGAGGGCATGAAGGTTAAACCTTGCCCAGAAATTAATATTCCTTTATTGCCTTGTCTGTTGTATTCACTTTCACTTAAATGCCCCTGGGAAAAGTATGAATCCATCTTTTGTTAAACCCAGCTATGGGTTAATTAGCAGAGGAGATGGGGGTTCTCTAGCCTTGGGTGGCAGTCAGTCTAGAAGAGAGACAACTCTGAAT